AACCATAATAGTACAGCAACAACTATCACAACTCAGTGGTTTTATAGAAAATTTATTTTCCACTGTTTTTTAAAAAAAATTTATTTTTTTTATAGGTATGAGTGTTTTACCTGCATGTACATCATGTATGTATAACACATGGGTGCCTGATGCCTGTGGAGGCCAGAAGGGGGCATCTGATCCTTGGAACTGTAGTTACAGATGGTTAATGGTTATTAGCTACCATGTGGGTGCTGGGATCCAAACCTGGGTCTTCTGCAAGAGCAGTCAGTGCTCTTAACCACCAAGCCATCTCTCCAGCCCCTTATTTCGCACTGTTGTACTCCAGTACAAGTGGGAGGCCTACCTGTTCTCCCCAAGCATATCTCACAGTTCCTAAGGCTGTAGCATCCAGGAAAAAAAAAGCTGGAGGGTTGCATAGGGTCTTTTTCCAGACCAGGCCTAAAGTGGTTTATGCCAGTTCAGGCTATGTCCCTTTGATTCAGCCTTTCTCCGTAGGAACCCGGAAAAAGTAGTTTCCTGGTTTTGAATCAGGATTAGTTCTTCTAAATAACTGGGGAACACCCAGTACTGTGTCTGCCAGGGAGTTGGTGGGCACAGTGTGACAGCAAAGGGTAGGCACAGCCACGTGGCAGCAGATGGAAGGATACACATCAGCTCTTGAGGCCTCTGGCCTGGCAGAGACTGTACTTTCCTTTGTAACAGTTCAGTGTTATGCTTGGCTAATGGGAAGGCTGCAATCCAGCTGAGGCACTCCTGGACCCACGTCCCTGAATTAGCTATGGCACTCTTTGTGCGCAGGTCAAGTCCATGATAAACTGAAACCAGAGGAGATTGTGAGAATGTGCCAAACAGCTTGTGAGCCCTGAAATTCCTGTTTCTTATAGGCCACCGGCTTGAATTCCTTGAGGATACAGTCCCCCCCCTTCCTCCTCCTCCTCCTCCTCTTCCTCTTCCTCCTCCTCCTCTTCCTCTTCCTCCTCCTCCTCTTCCTCTTCCTCCTCCTCTTCCTTCTCCTCCTCCTCCTCCTCATTGTGGGAGCCTGCAAGCGACCCTGCAAAGATGGCACAGAGAGGATGTGAACAGGGCCAGGCCTGGCTTGTTTGGAAAACCTCCTGATTGGCTGAAGGACACTTCCCGGTCTCTGGCGTGATCATCATTGATGTCTATGGGACTCTGCCCATGTGGCCGGTTGACCTTTAAGCTGATTGGATACATTTGGGAGGGGGAGACTTTTTTTTGGGGGGGGGTGGATTTCCAAACTGCGGTTTTTGCCTTTATAAGCTCTGTGACACCTGCAATAAATGAACTCCTGCTTGACAAGATTCCCTGTCCCGTATGGTTGTCTTCGGCAAGGAGGGCTGGCGGAACGTGCACATCCCTCTATCCCTGATCTCCCGTGTGGGTGGCTTCTTACGAGCGGTCTGCAGGCCGGTCTGCTGGAGGCTGGAGGGCCCCCACACTCATTCCCTTGTTCCTCCTCATCTTCCTCCTCCTCATCCTCCTCCTCCTCCTGTTCCTCCTCCTTCCCCTCCTCCTCCTCCTCTTCCTCCTCCTGCTTTCTTTGGTAAAACCTGTTCTTCTTCCTCCTCCTCTCTCTCTCTCTCTCTCTCTCTCTCTCTCTCTCTGGAATGGGGCACGCTGCAGCTCACGGGCCTGCTGCTCTTACCTGCCCCAGTGCACTGCCAGGTTCTGCCCGATGGACACCAGCAGGCCAGCAGGCCCGTGCTCCCATAGGCACTCCTGTGCCCACGCTGTTGCAGACCTCTCCAGCTCATCATCCCAGGTCTGCAGGAAAGAGATGGGCAGCAGATGTCAGTAGGGCAGGAGGGTGGAGCAGAATGCCTCAGCTCTGGCAGGTGCCCGGCCTCTGGGCTGCCAGAGCTCTGGCTGGGCCTTGAATTCGCCTTGACCACAGGTGAGTCTGTCCTCTTTCACTCCCCCTCCCCCTCCCCCACCCCTTCCTCCTCCTGTGACAGACCAGACCAGAGGAGACGGGGGACAAAGGCTATGGTGCACTGCCCATTCTTCTGGCCTCCAGAATTGGATTCATGGCCCAGAACTGGGAGAGGGACTTTTCCTCAAGTGAGGGGCACACCTGTGCTACTCTGTTTTCCACTTTGAGAGTAGATCACTAATGTGGTCAGTGCTCACCACTCCTCCTTCCACAGTTAGGAGGGGAAACCTCTCTCCTCACAGCAGAGAAGAGATGAAATGGCATTGTCTTCCCTCCATCACCCCAGGACTGTGTAAATGTGGGAGCCACAAAACCATCCCTTCTGAACGCCTGTCATATGAGACTTAAGAAGTTTCTTCAGGGGCTAGAGAGAAGGCTCAGTTGTTAAGAACACTGGCTGTTCTTGCAGAATACCTGGGTTTGAATCCAAGCACCCACATGGAAGCTAACAACTGTCCATAACTCCAGTTCCAGGGGATCCAACAGCCTCTTCTGTCCTCTGCGGCATTGCACAACACAGGTGCACTTACCTACATGCAGGCAGTACATGCGTACACATAAAAATACCAAATAAAATTTAAAAAAGAAATTTCTTTAAATGCCACCCCAAAAGAGTGAAGGGCACTAGAGGATACAAGACCCTGGTGCACAACTAGGGTGCCCAGAGGGCAGGGGAACCACTCCTCTTCCTGACTGGGCCAGTCTGTGCTTGTATCTGCTTTGATTTGGAACTTCTTTCTATCCCAGGGGCCACCCCAGGACTTCAGTAGAGACTGCTTGCCACTCCCTTTCAGACAGTATCACAGCACCGATGTTTAGTAACAATGAAACTTGTGCCTAACCTTGGCAGGGTGCTTGCCAATCTAGAGCCAGCAGGGGGCCCCGAGTCCTCATGTGAATGATGAATGCCATGTCCCACAGGAGATGTCAGTCACAGCGAAATGAATGTCAGTCCCTGGGCTTTTGAGCCTTAGAAGGTGGGACAGAAGATTGCTGGCCAGGTCTCTCCTCTAGAGACCCTACGTCATCTTTAATAACAGGTGAAGCTAAGTGTGAGCTGTGAGCATCCAGATTAATTGTATCTTGTTTAATTTTTTTGTGTGACGATTTTCAGGGACATTCGGTGTTTATAAGTGTCCCGTTTCTCCTTCACATCCAGGTGGAGGGACTGCTATTGGTCTGAATGTGAGGTTCTCATTAGATTTGCAGCCCCTGTGCCCAGTCTCATTTTGCAGAACAGAGAACAACCAAAGACTTGTTTCCTAAAGGAAAAAGCTTAGCATTTTCTAGACCTCTGAGCAAAGAGGAAAGAGGTCAAAGGAGAGCTTCGGTGGGGAGAGGGGGCCCTGGCTCAGTCATTAGGCCCCCAGCTCACCTCCCCACACCTACTACCAAAGCTCTGCATTTGAGGATTTCAGCTGATGGCTTCCAGGCTTAGGCATCAAATGCATCACCGAAGCAAACACCTCCCAGACACACTGGCTGGTGAGCTTCTGGAAATTCTCAAAGATCCTGAATTCAGGTAGAAAAAAACTCATTCTGGAAGCTTATAGTGTATTCTGTCATCTATGTATAAACATTACACTGCCACTGGAGCTAGTCACTTCAAGTGTACAGTTGATTCTTCCTTGCAAATTGTTCCAAAAGGAAAGGTGTATGTTTCTGTGTTTATCTCTGCCTCATGTGTGTGCGTGTGTGTGTGTGTGTGTGTGTGTGTGTGTGCGCGCACGTGCACGCAGGTGCACTCATGGAGGCCAGAGGTTGACTTGGGTGTCTTCCTCAATCACTTTCCATCTGACTTTCAAGACAGTGTCTCTCTCGTTGAACATGGAGCTCATTGATTAGGTAGGCTGCCTGGCCTGTGAGCCCCAAGAATCTGCCTGTCTTTACCTTCCCAGTACTGAAATTACAGGCGTGTGCTGCCCAGCTTTTTGCATGGGTGCTGGGTATCTGAACTCAGGTCCTCATGCTTCTGAGATGAGCACTTTACCAACTGAATCACATTCCTAGCCCTCAAATTTGTTTCAAGGAACACTTCAAAAGCCCTTATATGAGTACCAGCATCTGTGGCCAGGACACAGTGACATTTTTTTCTGCTGTGTTTTCCTGAGTGCTTTCTTGAGGGCATCAGATTGAGGGTGAATAAGGGCCAGTTTCAGGGTCATCTGTGGCCTTTGGTCACCAGCAGATCAGTTTGGTGGATAATTCAGGGGGAAAGAATTGACTTGGAACATGTTTTGTGACATCCCATGTGCAAATACCATCACAATCCCGAGATTTACATACTTTTCATAATTAGGAGTTAGTGCTGGAGACCCTAAGCTGAAAACAGTGTCCAGCGGCTCACTTTACATCAGCTTGACCAATAAGGATATTTTTCCATGATCCCTCTGTGGCTGCTGCTACGCTGTCCACACAAAGTGCTGTTGTCAGAGCAGCCGGGGCTCAGGCACAGGAAGGGAAAACCCTTTTTTCTTTCTCTTTCTTTCTTTCTTTCTTTCTTTCTTTCTTTCTTTCTTTCTTTCTTTCTTCTTTTCTTTCTCTCTCTCTTTCTTTCTCTATCTTTCTCTTTCAGTCCCTTCCTTCCTTCTTTTCTTTTTTTCAAGGTTTGCTAATTTTGACCACCAGACATGGCCAACAAAACTGTACTTTAAACAAACTTTTAAAAAGAGTACACAAGAACACTTTAGAGATGCTCATTTAATGCACTGTCATTTTAGGAAAGTAATTCCAGCTCTGCTTTCTGGAATCTGTGCCGACAAACACGAGGGCAGACAGAAACAGCATTTGTTTTATTAAAACATGTTTCTTGTCCCTGTTGACTTCTCCCTGATGGAACAGGTATCTTATCCTTCAATATGTCCATGGGGTAGCAATTTGTCCATTTAGCCAACTGTGGACCAACTGTGTCAAGAAGTTTCCTACCAGGTAAAACAACTTCCCATTATTTTCCAGTCTGAAGTATTAGTCCATAAGCTGTAAACATAACTACCAAGGGGTTCGTGCTTCATGTGGCTAAATGCATCGGGGAAACTATATCTAAAAGTCCATTCCCTTATTGAGAAATTATGGAGCCATTTCAGTACATTAAATCTGAGGCCACATTAGTCTCTGTGGCTTTAGATTTTGCAAAAGGGAACTGAAATCCAGCAAGTCGTATTAAGAGCCCATTCAAAAAGTGAACCAGAAAACAAATGAAGATGACCCAGAACGAGGTGGTGTAGTTTTCGTTTTGTGTTTTGTAGGCATAGGTCCCTTCTTTAAAATTCGCGATTTTTTCTGAGAGATGGTGGATTTTCACTTCGGAGGCAAATAATATCATGACAAGACAGCCGCAGGAGCCTGCCACAGAAGGAACAAAGAGCATGTTGGGACAAATATTACCTGATTGTAGGGGCAGAGCAGAGGTAATGAACAAACTAAAGAGAATCTTTTACCATATCCTTATTTGCATTCTTTTTCAAAATAATATTATTGCAAAATTGTAATCACAAGTTTGGTTCGCCAACCCGTGATTGGAAGCATTTGGGGTACAGCTGTGAGTGAGGAAGATCTGCATGGGGAGGTTCAGTTGAGGGCTTAATAGAGCAGTTAGAATCAAACTGATCTCATACTGCTGCAGCACGAGTTGCTGGACACCTTCAAAGCACAATGGTGAATTCAGCTGCAAAGCACCCATTGCTGTGATGTGACTTCAAGAGAACAAATCTCTCTGTACTTCACAGGTGATGTAGAATGAATGCCAGTGCAGACCCTTGTAAAAAGCTCAGGCTTCCATACAGAAGGGTACCATGACCCTTCCAGCTCCTAACTGGCCACAGCTACCCAGAGGAGGACCCGGGGCAAAGGTATCTGTGGATGAAGTACTGTTCGTACAGAGCCAATCTGTGTCTGCCTTTACTAAAGTCAACATGATTCAGGTTGAGAGAGAGGGAGTAATTGGGATAGAGAAGCAGCAAAGCTTTCTTGATGTGTACAAGTCAGAGACCTACCCTTTCTGCTTCACTTCCTCCTTCCTGTAGCTCAAATGTGGATGCAGTGGCTTCAGGAGACATTTGGGGGCAGGGAGGTGACCTCAGAAATGGAAGGTGTAGGACTGGGAAGATGGCTTAGTTGTATAATGCTTGTTGTGTAAGTGTGAGTATCAGAGATCAGATCCCCAGTTCTGGGTTTGATTGAGAGGCCTTGTAATAAGGTGGAAGAGCAATTTAAAAAAGCTGATTCTCAGCCGGGCGTGGTGGCGCACGCCTTTAGTCCCAGCACTTGGGAGGCAGACGCAGGCGGGTCTCTGTGAGTTCAAGGCCAGCCTGGTCTACATAGGGAGTTCCATGTCAGCTGGGGCTACAGGGAGACCCTGTCTCAAAAAAGACACAAAAAAATGATTCTCAACATCAACTTTAGTCCTCCACACATATGTACATACATATGTGTGCACACCACACATGCAAGCACACCCCACACACATGTGAAATGGCATAAAACATGCACGCACACATGAAGATGAAAGAAGAAACAAGAAATGGAATCCATGTACTCTGGCAAAATAAAAAGGGAAAATCGGAATCCTAGGCCCATGAAGCCACAAGCTAACCCTGCATTTTAACCTCTAGGTTTCTGAGAGACATTGCCACTGATTTGTGTAACTCACTGTTATGATTTTATCCATCATTTATCACTGATCAACCTAATGTGAAGGATGTGACTGTGGACCCTGTGAGACCCCTGTGGAACAGGGCTGCTGAGTGGATTCTGTAAACTGATAGGGGATCATCTATGCTGAGGATGAAGGATTGGAAACTCAGTGCCAGTGGATGGCCCCAGGGACAGAATCAGGTGGCATGTGGGACTGGACTAGGAGCAGGATTCCTCAGGGTCTCCATGGCTGCTAAACTGGGCTGCCACCTTATTGGTAGGAGACTGGGTAAGATAGCTTTCTGACAGGTCAAACCAATTCAGGTTTAAACCCTAATCCCCTCCCTTAATATATGATGATATATTGCTATTAGGTGATTTGAAACCTCAAGTTGAATCCTCAATTTCCTTATCTATTGAAAGCACATATTCCATGATCAGCTTTGGACACTGGAATTGATAGATACATAATTGATAGCTTTTCCTGCGATTTTTATGTATTCCTTTTTTTTAAAAAAACTTCTTATAATTTGTTGCTCTGCCCCATCCCACACCAGAAAACCCCGACTACAACTAAAAATGTATTACAGTGTCTTATTCTTCCAAATAAGATTATTGTCAATTAAGTTTATGACTCCTTCAGGAAGGCTAAATCCTTTTTATTCTTCAATTACAGTTAATTCAAATACCTTGGGAGCAGCAACAGTGTCTTCAGTTGCCATTCATTAATTCATTCATTCATTTTTCCAATTAGACATATTATGTGCCAAACATGGGGATAGTAGAAAATATGCCTCGTCTCTGCTCCCACAGTGAGCATGATGGACAGAGAACATAAAAACAATTATAAAGCAGTTATAGTGAGTGTCGCAGTAGGGGAAGGCAGGGGACAATTCCTGAGGGCCTGGGCAGTGTCCTTAAAAGTAGCTATAGGAAAGGGAGGCTGCACTGGGGAGCAGAAAGCAGCTGATGTGGAGTGCTGTAGTGTAAGTGGTAAACCAGGAGTCTTCCAACAGCAGACTGGGATCTCTGCAGAGGTAGAGACTGCTCATACAAGTGGGCAATGGCAAAAGGGGACATCACATTTCTGTTTGGGGCTTTCACATAAATACACACCTGTCATCATAGCACATGCGAGGTTGAGACGGGGGATTGCGTGTTTAAAAAAAGAATTCCACACAGGAGTGTCTCCGTCAGGTCAATCACCATCACACAACAACACAAATAGTCAAATGATGTCGCTTTCTTGAAACTTCACTTCCCACCAGCCTCAGTGTGGTAGTCGAGAAGATTCCTTTGTAAGATCTGTCAGCCTAGCTATTTTGGTATTCTGATCTTCAAACCAGAGCTTTCTCCTTACAAACCATATTATTCCTTTATTGTTAGAGCCTAACAAAAAGGCTGCAATGCTGTTTTCTCTTTATCTTTTATTTGAAAATTGTAGAGAGAATTCCATTGCTTTTACCATAAGAGCTTTCTTTGTCTGAGGAGATGGTGAATTTCAGACAGAAGAGAAACACTATTTCCTCAGTGCCTGAAAGGAAAATTCTAGCTCGGTTTCCCTTTCAAGTCGTTAAATATTTTAAAGGGATACTTTGTTAAGGAGACAGCATCTTAGTAAGCTTGCATTTTAAATTCCTCAGGTGCAGTCACCTGGACATCTTGAGACTCAAAGCTTTTGTCATAGCTCATATGTCAAGGGTGCATGCAGATGGGACAGAGTACATGGGCTAGTTACGTAGATGCTCTGAAATTCCCCTCTGGACTCGGGTTGACCAAGGTCAACTTTGTCATCTTGGAATCAGAGGACAGAAACCACACCTGAGCCCCTGACAATCTGTCTGTGACTGCTAAAGGGAAACAACTCAGTGTGAAGCAGATATTTTTGCTTCTCTCTGTCTATATCCATGAAAGAGATGTGGGATCAAGGAAAACTATTTATGACTTACGGACCAAAAGGCACACATGAAGGCTTTCTTTGTGTGGCCTGGATGCTTGGGCTATGGAGAGAGGTGGACAAGGGATGTGACGAATGGTGAGAACAGGGCCTGTCATATTTCCAGCATGACTCTCCAGCCCCAGCAAGAAGGGCTTCTACATTGAACCCCCTATTTAGAGGGGTTTCTCTCTCTTTTGAAAGCTCTCTCTCCCACACAGGAAGAGGCATGCAAAATCAATGGAATGTTTCCAACTGGAGTCTGCTCACATTATAGGCGGTACTCCTGGGACCCTGGAGCTTTCGCCCCAGTAGCCCTGAGACCATTTCTGGGGCTGCATGGGCATCTTTCCAGGGTCAGTCCTCCCAAGAGCATGTTGGTAGCTGAGGTCACACATCTCAGGGCACTGTGGGTGGCCTATGAATAGCCATTCAAGAGACACAGTCGGGGTTTGGATATGCAGACATGTATAAATATATACATATATATGTATATATTTTTATATGCTCAGAGGCCTTATCCTGAGTGAAATGAAGTGAACAGGGACGGGAGTGGACAGAACCCAGCTGACTCTGCTTCTGTCACTTGCTTGGGTACAGAATTCACAGGAGTCAAGAACTCTAATTTGAAACTCACCTAGGTTCTCCTGGGAGGATGTTTCTCAAGGTAGTAGAATTCTGCAGATTTTATTTAACAAGGTCATGAACTTTAAACTTAAATGTTTAGACAAACACATAGCATATGGATATCCATTCATACTCTTTCCCAAGGCCTCACAGATGCTAGAATTGGACCTGTATGCCTCTCTCCACTTTTTCCTAGTGAAGCGTGTACACAAAAATCCCCAGCTCAGCTAGGCCCACTGGGACAGATTCCCCCAAATATCTGTCCATCTGATCCTCACTGCTGTAATCACAGAGAAGTTAGAACGAGCCAGACTTTGGAAGCCAGCTGAGCCTCGCTCTCAGTAGAGTTTGGAATGCAACCAAGCACAAGGCCCACATTTGCTGCCCAGAGCAATGCTCAGTGACCTGCAGTCATTTCCCTTTCATCTGTCTTATTTCCCCACCATCTGGCTGGTGCTACTGTTGCCCCCCCCCCAATTTAATAACTTTGATTACTGAGTTAATTTCTGACTGAATAAGATAGCTGAGCTACAGGGCTGTCACACCATAAATGATCAGTCATTAACAAACATTTTCGATATGTTAGACACTGCACGTTCTTGACTCTCCTCTAGCAGCTGCCTGGAGTCGGGTATCTGTCTCCTCCAGGCCTGACAATACTAGGAACATAGGTCACAGTTAGTAAGGGAGTTGCCTTTTCGTCTCTGCAGGGGCCTGAGTGTGACTAGGCTTTTGAGTGAGAACACTTGCCAGGTTCCATAGGCATCCAGCATGCTTAGGTCCTTATAGGGGAAGGAATCTCAGAAATTACTGTTAGCACTAAGGTCATATTTTGGAGGATAATAAATTAGAATTCCAGTTCCTTATAAAGAAATGATCGAGGCTAGAGCAGTTAAGAGCACTGACTGCTCTTGCAGAGGACCCGGGTTCGATTCCCAGCACCCATATGGCGGCTACGAACCTTCCTTAACTCCAGTTCCAGGGGAATCTGAAGCCCTCTTCTGACCTCCATGGCATTGCATGACACGGGTGCACTCACATACATATAGGCAGTACATGCATACACATAAAAATAAAAATAATAAATAAAATATTAAAAAAGAAATGATCAACATCTTCAGAATGAAAACATTATCTTTCAATTCTC